ATCATCATCATCATGTATCATCATCATCACCATCATATATCCTCATCATGCATCATCATGCATATCTTCACCATGTATCATCAGCATCAGTGTCATGCATCATCATCATCAAGTATCATCTTCATCATTATCACCGACAATGATCGATGCCCATCATAACAGATAAAATGTTAACACCGTACACATGTAGTCACCAAGTTTACCTACCACTTTCCTTCCAGGGCTGACGCTAGCTTTCCTCTCCCTCGGTTCAACCGTAATAACCCTATCTTTACTATTATAAAGCGAATTGTCAAATCTCCCAGAAAGAGGGCTGTCGATTCCTGTTCGTTGAGGGTTCGTTAATACCGACACAGCTATCGAGTGTCTCCGAGGCTGYTCGTAATTCCCGATTGACAGCGATGTCTTTTTCACTCCGCTATACCTTCCATTAAATGTCGGYGTCGAACCAATTAATACTTTTATGTCTTTATTACTTTGATTTTCACAATTTTGAGGAATATCGGATTTTAACCTCTCCGAAGAATTATTGATTTCGTTTTTATCACACTCGAGCAATCGATTATCCAACGGAAAGGATTTCTGTCCTATGGAATCGTCGCGTCCATCTATCGAGTCTGTCAGCTCATGATCCGTAGGATTATCGATTTCGTCCAATTTCGCTTTTAATTTTGAAGGGATTTTTTGCGAATAGTTTGCTGTACCGAATTTAGTATTTAAACTTGCAGCAGGTAACGACTGTCGCCGCGAAGCTCCAACAGCATATCGATTAGGATCCCGCAGGTATCGAGGTAATTGTCCCGCGGGTATCTCGGCTGGCGTGACCGTTGCGCGTCGTTGTTTGATCCGGGTACTCGAGAGTATGCCATTGTTGTCGGTTGATTTTGGTGAAAGTGGTTGGTYCTCACTGTTATCCAATGAAATGACTGGAAGGGAGAGAAATACGCATTTTATTAGTGATTCATGGATGTAGGTTAAACAGCGTTCCAGCATTGTTCGGCACAGAACAGTAATGGCACGATACGGAACATGACGTGACTAGTGACGCGTGCACGCAAAAGAAGATTTACTCATAATAATAATAATAATAATAACTTTCACACAGAATTCAGAAAGCTAACCACTTATTTACACTGAAGCTGTACTCACCGGTATTTGATGTTGTCATAAGAAATGTTCTTTCAGTTGCAGGCTTCAGGTTCATACATTTTATACAACTCCCGTCATTTTTACTTCTTGTCTAGCAAACTCGTGTCTTAAATGATGTCTGCGTTCACCTAAAAATAAAA